GCTGGTTTTATAGCATTTTAGTTTTGGAAACAAAGATTCAAATATATTATGATTTTCGTTGTTAATTGGAGAGCTGGGGTGAAATCAATAAAATGAGATTCAGTGAAGACAGGTAATGGAATCCATTAAGGGTGGAATAATTAAATGTACAAATATAGAATACGGGAATGCTGAACTGGCAATGATACCACAGGGAAAGATCTGGTGGTTATAAACAGTGAGTAATAAATTGGATATGAGTCAATAATACAGCAGTGTTATTAAAAAAAAAAGTAAATGCTCTGGAGAACTAGGCTGTATTCACAGAATATTGTACATAAAACCAACAAGAACTTTACTGTAGAGTGCAAAGAAGCAACCAATAAAATATATTTTAATAAATTCCAAGGAAAAAGAGAAGAGGATCAGATGATTATGGGTCAAATTTATAACATTTTAATTAATGTGTCTGGTCCAAAACACAGTAATATTTAAAGTTAGAAAGACACAGCGTAGTTAAAATATTCAAAAGAATAAGAAATCCTTCGACTCCTAAATCCATGACAAGTTGAAAAATTATAGCCTGTAGTCTAACATTATGCTCATCATAAATTTTGAACCCAAACTTTGGACCAAGATATCTAAAATATTGAAAGTATATATTATAGTTCTGTACTTTAGATTTACAATTTCATGGGACTCCATAGCCAATGTTTAATATATAAACACTACTACAATTTCCCTGTGTGGATCATAACAAAGTATGGATAACACTGTGAAGAATGGGAATTCAAGAACACTTTAATTGTGCTCATGTGGAGCCTATACATAGACTAAGAGGCAGTTGTTCGAACAGAACAAGGGGATACTGCCTATTTTAAAGTCAGGAAAGGTGTGCGTCAGAGATGTATTCTTTCACCATACTTATTCAATCTGTATGCTGAGCAAATAATCTGAGAAGCTGGACTATATGAAGAAGAACACAACATCAGGATTGAAGGAAGACTTGTTAACAATCCGTGATATGCAGATGACACAACCTTGTTTGCTGAAAAACTGAAGAGGACTTAAAGCACTTACTGATGAAGATCAAAGACGACAGCTTTCAGTATGGATTGCACCTCAACATAAAGGAAAAAAGAATCTTCACAACTGGACCAATAAGCAACATGATAAACGGAGAAAAGATTGAAGTTGTCAAGGATTTCATTTTACTTGGATCCACAATCAACACCCATGGAAGCAGCAGTCAAGAAATCAAATGACACATTGCAAAAGACCTCTTTAAAGTGTTAAAAAGCAAAGATGTCACTTTGAGGACTAAGGTGAGGACACAAGCCATGATATTTTCAATCACTTCATATGCATGAGAAAGCTGAACAATGAAAAGGAAGACCAAAGAAGAATTGTCGCCTTTGAATTATGGCATTGGTAAAGAATACTGAATATACCATGGACTGCCAGAAGTATGAACAAATCTGTCTTGGAAGAAGTACAGCCAGAATGCTCCTTAGAAGTGAAGATGGCCAGACTTTGTCTCACTTACTTTGGACCTGTTATTAGGAGGGACCAGTCCCTGGAGAAGGACATCATGCTTGGTAAAGTAGAGGGTCAGCAAAAAAGAGGAAGATCCTCAATGAGATGGATTGACACAATGGCTGCAACAGTGGGCTTAAGCATAGCAACAAATGAGAGGATGGCACAGGACCGGGCAGTATTTTGTTCTGTTGTACATAGGGTCCCTATGAATTGGAACCAGCTCGATGGCACCTAACAACAACAACAACAACATCTGTACGTGTAGAGGTTTTTTTTGTTTTTGGATTTTTTTTCCAGGTGATTTGTTAAATTCCTTGATAGCATAGCATCTGGTTCTTAGCTGATATTTAATAAATTTTGATTGAGTGAATGAATAAATGTTTTTAGTCCATTGATTAATTTTATTTAAATTGTGTTTTAGGTGAAAGTTTACATTGCAAAGTAGTTTCTCATTCAAAAATTTATACACAAATTGTTTTGCGACGTTGGTTGCAATCCCTGCAATGTGTCAGCACTCCCCTCCCTTTCCACTCCGGGCTCCCTGTGTCTGTTTGTCCAGGTTTCTTGTCCCTTCCTACCTTCTCGTCTTTGTTTTGGGCAGATGTTGCCCATTTGATCTCCTATACTTGATTGAACTAAGAAGCATGTTCTTCATACGTTATAGCTTGTTTTATAGGTCTATCTAATCTTTGGCTAAAAGGTGAACTTTGAAAGTGGCTTCAGTTCTGAATTAGCAGAGTGTCTAGGGGCCATAGTCTCATGAGTCCCTCCAGTCTCTCTCAGACCAGTAAGTCTGGTCTTTTCTTGTGAATTTGAATTTTATTGTACATTTTTCTCCCACTCTGTCTAGAACCCTCTATTGTGATCCCTGTCAGAGCGATCCATGGTAGCCAGGCACCATCTATTTCTTCTGGGCTCAGGCTGGTGGAGGTTGTGGTTCACATGGTCCATTAGTCCTTCGAACTGATATTTTCCTTGTGTCTTTTGTTGTCTTCATTTTCCTTTGCTCCAAAAGTGATGAGATCAAGAGATGTATTTTAGATGGATGCTCGGAAGTGTTTAAGACCCTAGTTGCTACTCACCAAAGTAAGACGTAGAACATTTTCTTTATGAACGATGTTATGCCAATTGACCTAGATGTCCCCTGAGATCATGGTTCTCAGCCCTCAGCCCCAGTAACTCAGTCCTTCAAGGTGTTTGAATGTGTCTAGGAAGCTTCTGTGACTTTGCCTTGATCAAGTTGTGCTGACTTTCGCAGTATTGCGTACTGTCTTACCCTTCACCAAAGTTACCACTTATCTATTATCTAGTTATTGTTTTTTCCTCTCCACCCTCCCCTCCCTTGTAACTATCAAAGACTGTTTCTTCTGTGTGTAAACCTTTTTATGAGTGTGATGGTTAAGGTTGTGTGTCAACTTGGCTGGGCCATGATTCTCAGTGGTTTGGCAGTTATGATGTAATTTGGCAGTCATATGATGTCATGATCACTTCCATGATAAGATTTGATATAATGTGATTGATCACTTCCATGATGAGATTTGATATAATGTGATTGCCTCCACGATGGGATCTGCTGTGAGTAGCCAGTCAGTTGAAAGGGAGTTTCCTTGGGTTTGTGGCCTGCATCGAATATAAATGGACATTATGGCAAGGCTCATGGGCTTTTGCTTGCTCTAGATCCTGCAGCTGGCTCTTGTTTGTCTGACCTCCGGTCTTGGGACTTGAGCTAGCAGCTTATCTCCGGTCTTGCCTGCCAATCTTGGGATTCTGATCTTTGCAGCCTGTGAACAACAGCCCTGCTTTCTGACCTGCCCATCTTGGGCTCACCAGCCCCTGTGGCTATGTGAATCAGGAGAAGCCTCTATCCTGACCCATGGGCTTGGGACGTTCCAGCGTCTACAACTGTGTGAGCCATTTCCTTGATATAAATCTCTGTCTTATATGTATTTATTTATATGCTTTATTGGTTTTGCTTCTATAAAGAACCCAGCTGTTATGGATTGAACTGTGTCCCCTCAAAATATGTGTCAGCTTGGTTAGGCCGTGATTCCTAGTATTGTGTGGTTGTCCTCCATTTTGTGATTGTAATTTTATGTCAAAGAGGATTAGGGTGGGATTGTAACACCCTTACTAAGGTCATATCCCTGATCCAATGTAAAGGGAGTTTCCCTGGAGTATGGCCTGCACCACCTTTTATCTTACAAGAGATAAAAGGAAAGGGAAGCATGTATTTCTTTAATGGCTAATGATTCGAGCATTTCCTCATGTGTCTGTTAGCCAACTGAATGTCTTCTTTGCTGAAGTTCTGTTCATATCCTTTGCCCATTTTTTAATTGGATTATTTGTCTTTTTGTTATTGAGATGCTGAAGTATTCTACAGATTTTAGAGATTAGACCCTTGTTGGATATGTGGTAACCAATAATTTTTTTTCCCAATCTGTAGGTTCTCTTTTTACTCTTTGGGTGAGGTCTTTTGATGAGCATAAGTGTTTAATTTTCAGAAGCTCCCAGTTATCTAGTTTATCTTCTGGTGTTTGTGCAATGTTATGGTTTGTATTGAATTTATGCCACGTATTAGGGCCCCTAGCATTGTCCCTAATTCAATTGATTAATTTTATACTATATGTAAATATTTTTATTACCTGTCTTATGATATTAGTGGAAGGGGGACAAAACACTTGTTTCGGGGCTTCTTATGCATCTTATAATTATGAAGTGTTCTTTTGAGGTCAGAGAAAAATCCTTTTGACTGAAATATGTTCTATTAGTTTTTTTTAGTCACGTAAAGTAACTTTAAAAAATAAAACTTTAATACATTGTCATTATAAAAATTTGGAAAGTAAGGGAAGGAACAAAGAAGTAAAAAGGATAATCACCTATATCCCACCACTCACTGATCCTGTTTAGTAAAATTAGACTAATATTGTATAAGCAATTTTATATCTTTTTTTTTCTGGTTAACATTTTACCTTAAACACTTGCCTATGTTATCAGTCTCAGAAGATACCATTTTTTAGTGACTACAAATTTCTGTAGTAAGATGATCTAGAATTTAACTATTCTCCTTTTGGTGAACCTTTAGTGTTACCTTCCCTACCCCCACTTTTTACCTTACAAATGGGTATTGAAGTAATATTGTACAAAAATTTCTGCCAAAATGTTTCTATTTCTGTAGAAGAGATTCCAAGAGCTATTATCAACTAAAAAATAATTAACCTTAAAAAATGTTTTTAATAGAAACTGCCAAAATTGCCTTCAAGCACAGACAGTTTAGATTCTTCCAAACAAGCTATAAGAATGCCTATTTCACTCTACTCTCTTATGAGCCATACTTTTGCAAAAAAAAATACAACAGAAGAAGTTGGACAATGTGGCTTTGATAAATAAGAAAACTTTAGCATTGCTTCTAAAAACTTGGAAACTTTTATTATGTTTGCCTAAATTTTTAGGTTTTGGTTCCAATGTTGTGTTTCTTTGTCTAGATTTTCTATGCTGTTCATGCCTTCCAAGCACGGAGTGACCATGAACTCAGCCTTCAGGAGTACCAAAGAGTCCATATACTTAGATTTTGTGACCTAAGTGGCAATAAGGAGTGGTGGTTAGCTGAAGCTCAAGGACAGAAAGGATATGTACCTGCTAACTACCTTGGGAAGATGACTTATGCTTAAGAAAGTAAGCCTTTGACTTTTATTTTCTGCCAAGCTGTTGATTAACTACCTCATAAAAATGACATTACAAAAAGTTGGCCCAGGAAGCAAGAAACCTCCAAGCTATATGAACTGATACCGTTTCAGGTTTTAAGGAAGATGGTGCTTCCTAACAAGATTATTTCATGAATATATTAAGAATACATATTGAATTGAAGGAAATGCAAAATTAGCAGCAATAGCAACACAGCCTATGCTCCAGCTACCAACTATTTAAAAGTGGATATCTTTTGAAAGACAAAATATGACCTTTTATCATCATGAAAGGTTGGTTCTAAGGATACGGTTTTTTAATTTACTATATTACTTTTACTGTACTATATTATTTTGCCTTAAACGTCTTTGTTCTTTCTCTTGTGTACATACATACACACACATATATATCACACATATGGTATATATGTCTATATGATATACATTATACATTCATGTGTATAAGCCAAGGAGGATACTAAATACACATGTGCATAGGAATTGATTAATTAATAGCCAACTAAACCCAAAAACCAAACCCATGGCCGTTGAATTGATTCTGACTCATAGAGACCCTATAAGACAGAGTAGAACTGCCCCATAGGGTTTCCAAAGAGTGGCTGGGGGATTTGAACTGCCAGCCTTTTGGTTAGCAGCCATAACTCTTAACCTCTGGGCCACCAGGGCTTCAATAGCCAACTAGCTGTCTTTAATGTAGAGCCTCTCTTGAACATAAGTTTTGAAACAAAAGAAAAAGTAGTGAATAACACCATGATAATAATAATGTCTAACATTTGAGTATTTGCTACATGCTAGTCATGTTGTAACTCATTTGATACTCATAACATTTTGAGGAGACTGAGGCACAAAGAGATGAAGTAATTTAGCCCAAGTCACACTGCTAAGAAGTGATAGAGCTGGGACTCAGTTACGTAGTCTGATTCTAGGATCCCTGCTCCTAACCACAACATTGTGCATAGTAATCAATCTGCATAGTAATCAATAATGCTAATAATGAAAATTGAAGAAGACCATTTTCCTTCTGGGCCCACATTAAGCATTTAGAAGTTTTTCAAAATCAAGGGCTACAAGGACTTAAAAGTTCCAAAATACTAGCCTAGAGAAAATAAGTAAGTTTATTAATTATTTTTATTGTTTTGCTTAAACATTTTGGAAAGCAAAATTGTTTAAAAACTAGTCTACACAATTACTAACAATACTTCAAGGAGGAAATGTTTTTGGATAGCTCAATCATTTAGATGATGAATGGGGAACATGTGTTCTGTGTTCTTAGGCAAGATGTAAATATTTTTAGTTGCCTATTTGTACTTAGATAAGGTAGGCATTGAGGAAATATTTGCTATGACACAATGTCCTGGGACACTGAACTTTATTTGCTGGGGAACTAAGATTCTAGGCTTATTTGGTCAAGACATTTTATTGAAGATGCTACACTGGAACAGAAAACAGATTAACTTTAGTGGTTTCCTTTAAAAACCAAGTAAGATGAACTTTTCATTTGTCCATTGGAAATGTGCTAATATGACATTAAATTTTAAGATAATTAATTGTTACTTGGAAAGATTTATTTGGTCCTATAATGTATATTGTGTTGTGTATATTACTCAGGAATACAAATAACAAAATGAAGACTGCTGCTTTTCAGAGAGATGCTGACTTTTATGCATATGACATATACAACCACAGAAATTCATGTAAGACATTTACATGACACAAAAATTTGCATTTTGATATCATTCCTGAAATTCTTCATCTAAGCATGGTTTTATAAGGTTCTACTGCTAAGTTGTTTTTGCATAAAATATTTTTAGTCTCTTTAGATATACAGGGACTTCGTATGTCTTTTAATAAACCTTTATATCCAATTTTGAAATACAAATAAGTTCCGGTTTGCTTAGGGTAAAGTGAGAAGAAATCCAAACTGGCTATCTGTGTAAACTGTGAACAAGCCTAATGAATGAAATAGTGGGGAAATTTTTAATGTATGTTTTTTAAAAAATTAGCTGTGACCTTAATACTCCCCACACAAATGAAGAATTAAATAAGTAGCACATATCTGCTTCTCCAGCTGAAATAAATGACTAGATGTATATAAGAAGCTTTGTCTACTTGTGCTGGCCTAGGAATGATGCTACCTGTCTGACCTTTGAAGAAACCACACCACTAAATCAGAGCTGTAGTTAGCCGCTGAGCAAGAGTTGTAATGACACCACCTACCGCAGTGGTTCACTATTGTGGTAAACATGTGACTATAAAACTGTTATTTTTAAAATCCAGCCTACAGTGCAGATGCCGTTTAGGTGCTTTGGTTAACGTTATGCAATACCTAATTTCCTAAGTATGTTCTTTAAAATCAAATAATTGTAATTCTGAGGTCAGACATTATTGTATTGGGCCTAAGGGAAATACAATCCCAAGATAGTAATAAGATGTATCAGTCTTGCCAGAAGCTTAAAAAGACAAAACTGTTGGTGACTTTATTATCATTAAGTCTAGGTATGCTAACATAATTATTTCTGTATATCCTATTATAACTGTTATTGTACAGTATACGGTCCTCTGAAGTAGGTATTTTTACTAAGAATGAAGAGGGCATTTTTTTTTTTTTTGGTGGCTGTTTTTTTTTTTTAAAAACATAAATACAAATTTTTATTTAGTATTTATTTTTAGATACAAATGCTATAAACTAATATTATATATAATAAAATTGAAAAATTATTAAAAAATTCAGTAACACAAAATTACCATGGGTACTTAAATCATGAAAAAAGTCACTGTCACTATTTGAATATTCCTTGTATTTCAGAAAAATATCTTGTTTTAGTATTCAGAAGTATAAAATTATTCTATGATGGTCAAGTTGTACAGAAGAGATAATGCACATTGTTAATCATAGCAATGAAGCATTGCATGAAATACTTTACATGTTGGTACATTCCATATTTTGCCTAAAATAAAATTTTTGCTTTTACAGATGGCTATTAAGTGCCTGTCACTGTGATGAATACTGTACAGGTGATTTACAAAATTAGTGTTTTCTTTACTAAAACATGGAATAAAAACACTTCACTTTTCCCATACATTCCTTGAATTTTTGTCCATTGCAAATACCTCTCAAAACCATGTGAATAAAGATAGGAAATTATTATATTTTAAGATGGCAAGAAAACCTTATTTAAATCCTGTTTGTTATAACTAAGGCTCTTTAAGGTACTCATTGAACTACTCAACACTGAATACATCTAGACCTTACAAAATTAAACTAAATTAGACATATAAATTTACATCATAGTTGATGAGGAAGTAATGAAATCCCATTGATTGGAAAGATATTGAACTTTATATTCTCTAGGGATAGATTACTATTTATAGAATGTTATTGTTTTAAAAGACTATTTTTTTCGTTAACCCTCCACACACACATACCAAACAATACATATAAAAAAACTCAGACATTAGCTATCTGTGATCTATATAAAATTATTCCAATATAACAAATCTTCACTCCAGGGCTACTAGAATTAAAGTTGAAGGTATGTAGGTCAGCTACTGCTTTTAGGTATTACACTTTAATCCAGGCAAGATTCCCTTTAGTTTTTTAGCAAAACAAGTCACATTTGAGCAAATATTGGAATGAGGTATTCTTATTCAAAAAGCTAGGGAATGTATTTTTAAAAATTTCAATAGTTTATCTTATTTTAAAAAATAACACTATGCTATGTAAATGTCTTTCTGTAATTGCTTATGTAATTTTTACAACTATTGTATTAATATTTATTTTTACAAAATGATATACTTCTTATATAACCTATAGTCATCACAATATAACTTAAGATCTCAGTCATTTCTCCTTAGAAGCGAGGATGGTGAGACTTTGTCTCATGTACTTTGGACACGTTATCAGGAGGGGTCCAGTCCTTAGAGAAGGTAACATAGAGGGTAACGTAGAGGGTCAGCGAAAAAGAGAAAGACCTTCAACAAGATGGAGTGACACAGTCGCTGCAACAATGGGCTCAAACCTATCAACGATTGTGAGGACGGCACAGGACCTTGGCAGTGTTTGGTTCTGTTGTGTGTAGGGTCATTTTGAGTCAGAACCCACTCGACGGCACCTAACATCACATCCCTGTTAAGAGTTGTAATCACCTACCCTTTGAATATTAGATACTTTCTATTTTATCTCATTAACATCTATGTTTTATAAAGGAAGAAATAGAGGACCACACAGCTAACACATGGAGGAACTGGGATTCAAAGCCAGGTCTACTGACTTCAAGGCCAGTTTTCTTCCAGTGGGTTTTTTTTTTCCCAAGTAACTAAAATCTATGGTTAAATGATTTTTACAAAAAGCCCAATATGCAAAACAGAAAAGTGATACTGATAAAATTTTAATTAAAATGGGATTTGAATTTAAATCCCAAAAGCTTTCCTATTGGTTCACTTACCTGTCTACTCGTTCAATGAAGCAATATTGATTGAGAACTGCAGTGGGAATACAATAGCTTGTAAGACAAACAAGATCCAGCCCTCATGAAATTTACATTCTAGTGGAGAAAACAATATATATGTAATAAATAAAATTATAAATAATATTACTATTAAGCTGGCTACTTTTATCACATGCTCAGTTAAAAATCCTTGTAGCTTACTTTATGATATGGAAAATCCAAGGTGTAAGAATAACTTGAAGATAATTAAACTCTAATAGCAAATGTAACTTTGTAAAATACCAAATCGAGCTATATATCTGATGGATGTATACAGATATTCCTATGTATTTATACACACATATTATCGATACAAAGAGCCATGTTCAATGAAAAATCATTTCCTACACATCTTCTAAATTTCTCTTCTGAAGTACCGCAGAAATTAAAATTGCTTCTCAACTCTATTCAGCACATATGAAGTAACTATGATAGAATAAAATTCTTCAAGGGCCAGTATGCCAAAATGTAATAAACATTACTGCTTTGATTTTTTACATTAACTGTTATAGTTGTTGAGCTATGTTTGTATCAGGACATTTTGTCCAGTTTAGTCCAAACTGTCCCTGAACCATAAACAATGTTTTTTTGTTTTTTTTGGTCTTCATGATCCTAAACTTCTCCAGTAAAGAGGAAGTTGGGGAGCATGCCAGACTGGTATTTTATCAACAGAAATATTTTTGCTGTTTGTTTCTCAAAACAAAAACATTTGCAGGCAGATTTTAAAAATGTAAGTAGTTTACTCTGTATAATAGGATTATCTGAATCCTGGATTCTATTATACCAAAAATCATTCAGTGCCATTACTTAAAAGAGCAGAAGTTTAAAAGTCTTTCCTTAGAAAAAGACCAAGCTTAATATAAAGAGCTTTATCTTCATAGAGATCATTTATCAATTTATTCTAGAATGATGTTAGAAAAATCTGGGAATTAATGGGAGAGGATTTGAGATTAGAGGTTCATTCAGTGAAGATACAGTAACTTCACCACCCATAGCACACATCAAGGTTGGTGGAACAAAGCTGCCCAAAGTCTTGTGAATGTGGGAATTTGTTGGGACTTCCAGTGTCTGGATGAAAAGAGGCTTTTTTTTTTTTTTTTAATTTTGAAATTATTGTTTTTAATTGTGCTTTAAGTGGAAGTTTACAATTCAAGTCAGTTTCTCATACAAAAATTTATACACACATTGCTATGTGACCCTGGTTGCTTTCCCTATACTGTGATAGCACACTGCTCCTTTCT